CCCCCCCCCGCCCTGCGGCGTTCTTATTCTCTCGTTGTAGGCCATTACCGGGGGCGACGGGGTGCCGTCTCCTCAAAAGTCCCGGTGTGCGTCTAACCGGATCACCGACTTCGACGATGACGAAGACGAGTCGGACGATGCCGACAACAGTGACGGAGGCGGTTCTGGCGCCGCCGCTGCCGCCGCCGCCGCCGTTGCCGCCGAGGCGGCTCTCTCCAAGCTTGCCGCAGAAGAGCAACCGCCGCCCTCCCCATCAGCGGCTGCCGCGGCGACGGCCGGTGGCGTTAGCGACGTGGGCCTGTGGCTCTTGGACAGGCCCGAGGCTCTCGAGGATGCATACCTTCAGCTGACGCACTCCCTCGGGCAGCACAACCAGAGGGCGGGGCGCATTCGAGCCGCGGCGAGGTGTTGGGGCAGGCGCGTGGAGCTGTTGCTGGAGAGGGGCGAGGTTGGGGTCGCCCAGGCCCGGCTTTCGAACCTTGCGGACCTTTACCAGGTGAGTGTGTGTTTGGTTTTGTGGAAGACGGTCCTGCTACGGGCGTTATTTGCCGCTGCTGATGGTGGTGATACCGTAACTAGGTTGCGTAAGACGCCGTGCAACCCTCTGGACCGGTTTTCAGGAGCTCGATAGCGCTTGTCGATCAGAAGGAGACCACGACGGATTGATACGTGATCGGAAAGCTCTCGCACAGACGGCGGCTCCAACGCGACCACTTTTCTCACCGCCACTGTTTTTTCGGCTGAGAGGTAGAGCTCTAATAAGCTCTAGACGATACGGTTCCAACGCAGCTGTTTCTCTGCGGAGTAACCGGTCGCCCCGGTGGTCTAGTGGTGACCTCGAAACCACTAGTCGCAAAGTCGTGAGTTCGAATCCCCATGTGGTGAAATATCCACAAACTTGCGGGTGAAAGGAAAAACAACTGAAACCCTCTCGTGAGTTGTACTACCAAACTTCGATGCTAGCACCAGTGACGAGGGAAAGGCACGGCTGCACCCTTCTAGCGAAAACAAATAAAATTCAGCACGCACCGCAGGATGAATGCGGGGCACGAAAATATGAAGAAAAATAAGAAAACTCCCCTCTTGTGTGACCCTGGACGGTTGTAGTTTGTACGAAAAAATACTCTGAAAAGGTGTAGTGCTACTACATACCCTGAAAGATGTAGCAGTCATGGCCCGCAGCCATTCGGAAACATTCTATGTTTTTTTGGTTTGGTGCAGATTTTGGCTTTTGACGTCGTTTTGAATCGGACTTGCTCATGCTATAGGCACATCAGCTGAGGCACCTAGTTCTACACATGATGACTAGGCCCGAGAAGGAGTACAGATGCAGAAGATGCATACGTCGCGTAGTACGTTGTTGATGGTGGTGTGGGATCGATGTCATATCCCGCAGCCATTCGGAAAATATCGGAGTACTTCGTTGATGGTGCTGTGGTATTGATGTCAAAACCTACGGGAGAAATATCTACCAGCGGGTGGTGCGTAACAGAGAGGTTTCAGAATTGGTTCGGCAGGCTTTGTCGTCGCGGAACGCGTCCCCTGGGTATTGAGTACACGTCTCACCACGAAGAATGAGGTGACTGTCGCCATTATTAATTGGACGAACACACACCCACACACCCACCCACCCGTGTGCTGAAAACCGGACCAGGGGTGTATCTATTGCAAAGTGCGGCAACACGCGCCCACGCAGGGTTGGTGCGTGCAGGCGCCGCTTTGGGTGGTCGGTCGGTCAAGGAAGATCTGTACTCCCTCCTCCGTTTGGGGGGACATGTTGTAGGTCGCCTATCTGCTCTCTCGCACTCTCTCCCGTGTCTCTCGCCAACGTCTCTCTGCCTCGCCTTGACGTCTTTTCATCTCACCTCTTTCGCTCTTGACCGTGGGTCCCGTCCCCGTTATTTTTTCGTCCCATCCCTCCCGAAGGCGGAGGGATGGACGCCGCAGGCTTTCTGGGCGCTGCACAGGCTAGCGCGCTGCCGCCGGTCCTTCGCCCTCGCCGGCAGAAACGAAGCAGGGCAAGCAACAGACGCCGGGGGCGCCTCCTACGTGTCCACCGTCATGCGCCTAGCAGCCGTCCTCAAGGACCCGCGCGTGAGATTGGAGGGGGGCAAGGCCGCCGTCGACAGGGCCGCGGCGGCGCTTCTGCTGGACGCCCGCTCCCTGGCCGGCGAACCGGCGGGGTCGCCCGGGCGGGGGTTCTCTTCCCCGTCCCTGTCCGCGGATAATAAAGCTGCCATCGCGTCCGCGTCGTCGCACTTCTTCTCCGGGGATTCGACGAGCGACGTCGGGGGCAAGCGCGCCTACCGGCTCCAGTGCTTCGCGGACGTGAGCTTGTCGGTGGTCGAGGAGGAGGGCGGTGTCGGGGAGGAGGAGGGGGGCGAGGATAGCCAGCGGCGGCGGCGGCGGCGGCGGCGGCGCCCGGACCCCTTGCCGGCCGTCCACGTCGGCGACCGGCTCCTCGTGTCGTGCGTCCTCAAGAGCCACTTGCCGCAGGGCGTCACGCTGGATTCACTGTCCTTGGAGATGACCCTCGAAGGCGGCGGCGGCGGCGCACGCGGCGGTCACGAGACCTCAGCGGGCGGCAGGAGCGGTGTCGGCGACCGGTCCTCCCACAGCAGGTCGTCTCCGAGGCGCAGCAAGGTCCTCAGGCGGCTGGAGAGCATCAAGACGGCGGTGGCCGCGGAAGACGACCTATCGCCAAGCCGTACTTCCGCGCCTGGTGCCCCAAAGCTTGAATCCCCGCCACCAGGGACAGCTTCCAACGGCGCCGCCGTGCTGCTCGCGTCGGGCGCCGACGGGTCAGCGGGGCAGGGTAAGGGCAAGGTGCCCGGGTTCAAGGTGCCGCCTATCCGCACCGAGCGGAGCCAGAGCCTAAGCCCGCGGCTGTCGGCGACGTCCTCGGCGAGCGACTTGCGGGAGTCGCTCATGAGGCCCCCCGCCGGCAGCACCAGCAGCAGCAAATCAAGCGTCCCCGCCAAGCCGCCGCGTCATAACGTCGGCGGCGGCGGTGGCCGGACTCGGAGCCCCACCCGGCATTCGATGTCGTCTTCTGCTTCTGCTTCGCCGTCGCTGCTGCCGCCGACTACCGCGGCGGCGGCGGCAGGGTCTCGGACCCCGCCAAAGGCCGCCGCCCGACCCAGGCCCGCTTGCTCGGCGAGGATAGAAGGGCCCGTCGAGCTGCTGCCGGGCGACAACGAAGTGGTGTTCACCCTGCGGCCGACGGTGGCCGGCGTGATCACGGCCTCGAGGGTTTCCGCCGCGTGGGGAGGCGTCACCCTGGTCCAGGTGCTCTCGGGCGGGGGGCGCGGGCGAGGGCCGTCCGGGGTAACGCTACCGTCCGCCTGGCTGGGAGCGCCGCGCCCGCCGCCCTCCGCCGTGGTGAGACCGTTCCGTCCACAAGCGGTGCTAAAGGTGGTGCCCCCGTCTTTCCTTCCCCTGGGGAACGAGGGGTGGCTGAGGGTGGCCGTAACGGCAGGGCCTGACACCCTGCGCGGGGCACGTCTGAGGGTGACGGTGGGCAGGGGGTTGGCGTGGGGGGACGCCGAAGCTTCGCGCGTGCGGTGGCGGCGACTGAGCGGAGGCGGAGGCGGCGGCGGCTCCGTATATGCAGACGACGACGGCGAGCCAGCCGAGCCTGAAGGGCCGGCTCTCTCCCGCCCGGGAGAAGAGGCTACCGACATGCTCGTGGCTCTCGAACAGGTGTTGCGGCCCGGGTACGTTGCCGAGGTCTCCCTGCGCGTCCGCTCGACCGCGGAGGCTTCCCCGCTTGCCGGAGGACCCGGCCCCGCCGTCGCCCCGCGCTCCCACGTCGTCAGTGCGGAGCTCGAGGCTTGGCACTCTCGATCTCCGGACGCCGCCGCCGCGGATAGTGCCGGGGTCGAGTGCCGGACCTACGCACGGGCGGCGATCGTCCCGAGGCTGCCGTTCGAGGCAAGAGTCGCAGTGACGGCGCGCCAGGCGGGGGTAGTCTTCGCGCAGACGTCGCTGGTCTGCACGGCTCCTGTGGCCCTCTCGCTGCGCTCCTGCGAGCTCTCCCGGGTCGAGCCCGGCGCCGAGGTCCTGTCCGACCCGAACGGTTTCCTGAACGGCGAGTCGCTGCCGCCGGGACAGCCGCTGCGCCTCGCCGCCTGCCTGCGGCGGCCGTCGGCGGTGACGGCGGCTTCCGCGGCGCTGGCGGCGCTCAGCCGCGGCGAGGGCGAGGAGCGGAAAGGCTCGGTCGGCGGCGGTGTGCCGCTAGCGGTCCACCGGCTGAGGTACTCGATCGGGACCGCAACCGGCGAGAGCGGGAACAGTGGCCAAGCCGAGGAGATCTTCGTCTTCGACGTTTGCATCCCGAGCCCCACGGACGGCGGCGGGGGCGGCAGCGCAGCAAACGCCTCCCCGGGGGCCGCGGGTTCCGGACGCGCGCAGCGGTGCCTGACGACCGCCGTGCGGCCGTGCGACGCCGGCGGGACGGAGGACGGGAAGGGCGTCGTTACCCGTCTAAAGCTTGCCGAGCCGAGGGCTTTCGAGTTCGGCGTCGTCGATAGCGAAGTTTCGGGCGGCGGCGAAGATGGCACGGGAGGCACGGCCCTGCCGACGGTCACGTATCAGGTGGTGGCCTCACCGTCGGATTGGATGGTCGGCGGGCTGATCCGGGGGTCGGCGAAGCTGGACAAGAAGGTGCGTCGTGCGTGTTTTTTGTCTGCAGTCGTGGCTCCGATATAAGAGGGTGCACCTTCCACGAGGGGGGCTCCTATGTAAGAAGGTCGACATTGGTTGGCGCGGACTCGATATAAGGTACACCTTTATTGTCCAGTATAAGAGGGCGCTCCGATATAAGAGGGTCAAGGGCCTTTGTCACACCTCCCTCGTGTGTGGGAGCCACGTCTGTACCAGGAAACCTTCATTTTTCGTTTGGCGGGAGTCTTTGACAATGCTTGTTTCGCGACCTGTCGTCTTGCGACGCTAACGCCCCTGCCTGAACGGCGGAACACATGGGACAACTAGCGCCCGGGAGCAAATTGCAGGATGGGCGAAGCTGGCAGCGCCGCTGCTGTAGTTTCGCTGGCCTCTTTCTTGTTCGGCCTCAATCTCAACAGTTGCTTTAGGAGAGCCCGACTCGGTTCCGCTTTTTTCTATTTTTGAGTCTGTACGGAGAGCGTGCTCTTGGTGCTTGAGAATGAGTTTTTTTCAAAAATGTTGTCATTTGCTTCCTTCATTTCTCGGGGAAAGCACCAAGACCGGGTTTGAGAGGGAGGGGTCGAAGTAGGGATGGTGTTGGTCGAGTTCAATGTCGAGAGACCCTGCGGCACCGTTTCGGCCTGAATGAATCATGCGGCACACGGGGCTCGCCCGCTCTTTCACGTTCGAACGGAAAATATCGATCAAGGAATACGCTTGTCTTGCTGGCATGTCGGTCTGGAAGCGAGCTTGTCAGGTCATGGGCACCAGCGGTAATGCTTGATGTTACCGTACAACACAAAGATAACATACACCAGTGATGAAATTTTGGCTTGTGACATCTTCGCCGAGTGTATTATGATGTGTGTCGTGCGGTATCGTCTGTGACCCTGTTACTTGAAGTGAGACTGTTTTTTCGTATTTGGGCTCATTTGTTGACCCGTAACCATTCACCACCGGGCGTCGTTTTGTGTGGGGGGTGTGATACTTGTGTAGATATTTTGTCTTGTGTACACGGCTGTCATGTGGTCGCACCATGCATTGTCGGCTTGTTTGCCCCTAGTCGTTGGTGGGTTTCTCATGTAGCAAATCATCCAGGTCCATGTGGGATGTACGTTGTTTGAACCACTCTGTCCGTGTAACGGCCGCAGAGATATCTTTTTTCGACATCTTTTTCCGTAGATGCGAAGGAATACCGACGGGCAGGGCAGGCAAGGTAGCACTTTACTTCCCAGGGGTAGACACGAAAGGGGCTCCGTGACGCATCAGGAACCGTGCACGTACGTATGCAAAGGAGTCCCGTTGACTCAACCAGCCAGGATACCAACGCCTTCCTAGAGATCAGGCTCGACACATTCGAACATCGTCGACGCTGCCACTATTATCGCTTCCATGTTGCTTTACCAGCGCCTTCTTGCCCTCCGCCGCCCCCCTCGCTTGGCTCGACTTCGCAGGGCGGCGGGCTCCAAGTGCTCTGCCGTGTCCACCTCGTGCCAATCCGCTGCGGCCTGGTGGAGCTGCCCCGCTTGGAGGTGGTTGCGGAGAGAGGGAGCGCTGCTCCGGAAGAAGTGAGCTGTCTCTCTCTTGTCGTATGCATACTCGTCGTTGTTTGTTTGTCCGTTTCGGAAGCACCGGTGCGGACGTGAGGCGTGCCTGTGCGTATCCATGCGGTGCGCGAAGTGCTGTCGATTGCTGAAGATACCACGCCCCCTGGGCCGTTATTCAAAGCGGCTGTCTCACCTCCACGGCACTCCGGTAGATACCACACCCCCCTTGCGGACCGAGTCTCCAACAGCTAGATTACTCCACGACAAAAGAGGATGCGAAGATCAAACGATCGCGTTTTCGGAAAGCTGTCGACAAGGCGGTGCCATTGTCGGGCACCGTTGCCGTTTTTGCTGCAGGGTAACCGCCGGTTTGACTAAAAAGTAACAAAACATACGTGTTTGAGACCAGGTAGGCAGTCTGTTCGAATCTGAGGTCGTCACCGGTTGTAGGCGGTGGCGGTTTTGAGGTGCACCTCCTTCGGCATTTCTTCAGGCGCCCCCAGGGCTCTCTAGCTTCAAGAATGAGCCCGACCCCCTACACCCCAGAACCGAGAACATATGCTGGTGTATTTATTTGCTATGATATTATTGTATATAATACACAGCGTGCGTCGGTCTAGACGTTATTTTTTCTGTGCGTGTTTTTTTTTTTTGTCGAGGTACTACGAAACAATCAGCGCGAGCCAAACTATTTCAGCTGCTGCTGGGCAAATGCCGACCAAATAGTGTGCATGTCGCGTGTGGCTTGATGAGTTTTACGAGTTGTTGGCGGTTTCATGGTACTTGCAGTTGGTGGCGGCGAGCATTCCTCCGTGTTGTTGTTGTTGTTGTTTGCCGCCGCCGCCGCTGCTGCTGCTGGGTTTCATCGAAAATCGCGCCAACGTTTGCACGGAGCCTCCTCTGTAAAGGGCACAAGGGCCACACATTCCCGTGGTGTGCAAGACCTGGCCCACATCAAGGGGTGTCCATGCGTCCATAAACGAAGGCAGCTTCCAACCGAAACCAAAGTTCCTAGACTCTTGTTAACTGCCTGACTGACTTTTGGTGTTCGTTTTTCGTCGATGCTCCCCGACAGGTGGAGGTGTGGAGCCCCAACCTCCGCAAGGTGCTGGTGCTACCGCCCGGAGACTCGGCCTCCGTATGCCAAGCTCGTGCACCCTGAGACACAGCCTCGAAGCGGATCGAGTGAGCCCCAAGTTGCCGGGCGAGAGTTATTTAGTTTCATGAACGAAGTGTTTGCGTCTCCGCTGTGCGGGAGTACACTCTTTGACGCTGCCGGCTATCTCGATCTCTCTCGAAATGAGCAAGAGCAGTGGTGGCGGCGGGTGAATCCAAGTTGCCGGGTGAGGGCTGTTTCATGAACAAGCTTTGCGTCTCCATTGTGGATTCCTCTCGACGTCAGCACGGTCTTGCCCTGGGATTATTGAAACGCGGTGGGTGCTGTGCATGCGTTGTTTTTTGTTTTTTTCGTGTGTGTTTTGTAGTATTCCGTCCGGTTTGTGGTATTGTTTATCTGCTCTACCTCGGCCGCATAGCAGTCTGTTTCTCAGGGTTCGGAAGTACACCACCCCTGCCGCATCGAGAAAATGTTGTAGGACGGGGTGACGCGGACTTTTTCTATGCATACCTGGTTTCGTAGCCGGAGGAGGTCGTACGTTGTCGGTATTTTGTGCTCTCTCATGGAGGCCTAGTCGTCGCGGGATACGGTACACGCGCCACCATAAAAGAACGTCCTCTTTTGGACAATACTTTTTTCTTTTTTCTCCGTGGCGGTAAACATGCGCCTCACAGTTTTTTGTGTGGAGTTCCCAACAGAGCTCGCCCGTTCTTCCGTTCAAGCTCTTGAGTTTTGTGAGTCTGTTTTTTTTTCACTTGCTGTTCCCTAGGTCGTGTCGAGTACCTTACATGACACAAGATAACACACCCCCTGGACCGATTTTCAAAGCTCGATTGCTCCACGACGAAGAGGATGCATAACCGAAACGATACATTTTCGAAAAGCTTTCGATGAGACGGTTTCAACGCCGCCGTTGTCCACGCTGTGACTGTTCCGGCAGCTGAGAAATCGAGCTTCGAAAATCGGTCCAGGGGGTGTGTTATCTTGTGTCATATACGGTTCTGCTGTTGTAGCGCAGAAAAATTGATTTACTCATCTCCGCGTGTTGTTCTTGTTGCGATTCGTGCAAGATAGTTAAATGCACCACAATCACAAGATGTTCTACTACTTTTGTAGTTTTCGTCGTGTAACTTTCGTTATGGAAGACAAGTGCATTTTGCGCTTTGCAGAGCGTGTGCTTCACATTGCCTCCTGACCGGCGCCGCACTGCCTGTTGGTGTGCCGTAGGCAGGTCATCAGGCGGAGCATGCTCCTGCGGCGTTGCTTGGTGCTCAAGGCTGTTTAGATTTGGTACTTCTAAAGGTTAGGGAGGCACCGGCTTGGCTAACTATGCGTGCAAGCCACACAGGAAGCTGCCCATGCGCGGATTGATGAGGAACTTTGGCTACGAACGCCAATGGCAGCCCCCCTTGACCTCAAAGCGCGGAAATGGAGCGCATTGCATAAGCCGCGTTGGAGTGGGATTGTTGAATTGTTTGTTTTTGGAGAAAACGCTCAAGAGTAGAACACACTGCGCGCTATGTGTAATTGTCCATGCTGTTGCGCTATCTCCGACACGCGAAGTAGCGCCGTTGCGCTACTCTCCGACACCAGAAACCAGCCACGCCTGGAGGAATCATCACCGTGTGCATACGTTCGTGGAAAGTTGTGACGCGTGTTCCCGGGAAGCAGGTGCGACCAATGTTTTCGGCCCATATCATATTTCTAGACGAACGTGTGGTGTTGAGGCGAAGTGACCAGTGGATGCACAGCAATAAGCTGTGACAACACACCAGTGTCCCATTGCCAATTTTTGCATGCATGCATGCGTGATTTGTCTCGCAACAGCAGTTTGGGCACATGTTGCAACGGCTTTCCTGACTACACGCAAAGGATACACATGATTCGGTCCTCAAATGAAGCAGTTTGTTTTAGACCGTGTATGGACACAGGTTTCCCAGGTTGAAAGCAGACCCGGGTCGTGGTACTAGACTCAACAACTACTGCCGGGAACTTGCAGAAAGTTGGCAAGAAGGTTTCGGAAGAGCGAGAGATTCTTCGAAGGGAGTGTAGGGACGTCTTCCCAGTCCGAAGACTTCCCAGTCCGAAGACTTGCCAGTCCGAAGACTTGCCAGTCCGAAGACTTCCCCAGTCCCCACGTCCGCAGGTGGCTTTCGAAGAGTCGGTCGCCCCGGTGGTCTAGTGGTGTTCTCGTAATCCGCTAGTCGCAGAGGTCGTGAGTTCGGATCCCCATGGGGTGAAAAATTTACGAAATGTGCGGGTGAAAGCCAAATATAGCTGACAAGCTCTCGTGAGTACCAAACTTCGACGTTGGCACCGGTGACGAGAGAACGGGACGACTGGACCCTTCTCGCGATAAAAATAAAATTCAGCATGCACCGCAGGAGGAAGGTGGGGCATGAAAAGAAATAAAAAGAAAAAGCACTGGTGTTTACCCCCTCCTGTGTGACCCTGGATGGTTGTAGTTGTACGAAAAAATACACTGAAAAGTGTAGTATTCTACATACGCTGAAAAGTGTAGTACCGTATATGACATAAGATAACACCCCCCATTGACCGATTCTCGAAGCTTGATTTCTCAACTACAGGAACAGTCACAGCGCCGAAAACGGCGGCGTTGGAACCGTCTCGTCAAGAGCTTTTCGAAAATGTATCATTTCGTGAATGCATCCTCTTCGTCGTGGAGTAATCGAGCTTTGAAAATCGGTCCAGGGGGTGTGTTATCTTGTATCATATACGGTACACGTCTCACCACGAAAAATGGGGGGACTGTCGCCTAGAATGAATACTAGGACGAAAGCAACAAACACACATCCACATTATTCCTGTTCAACTATTGGCAAGATATGCTCACACCATCGTGTCATCGTGTCCTGTATGTAGACTATGTATGCTACAAAAGTCTAGACTGAAGTCTTCCGCACGTTAAATTTTCTTGTGGAACTCTTTTAACTGCTGTTTATGTTGTTGACTTCACATTAAACCGTATGCCAGTTGCTAAATGCCAAAATCTAGCAAAGACTCTCGGCCCGTGGTCACGAAAGTGCTAGAGCCATCTGAGGATCTAAAGAACACGCACACGTACCAAGAAAAAGGTATACAAGAGCCCGAAGAG